TCCTTGAGAAGGATAGGTTGACAGGGGAAAACCTTTCCAACTAGGAAAGAATGCTAAGGCTTGTTCTGAAATCTGAAGGTAAGGACGATGTCATTGATACCCCATTGCCAGGACCTCTGCCAGAAAATCCTACTGCGGCAGAGATCAAGAAGCACAAGGAAGCTCATGATAGAGCTATGCCTATCACTTGCTTAATGATTACTACCATGGAACCTAGTCTTCAAAAACGTTTTGAGGACCAGGATGCCTACTCAATCATGGAAGAACTCAAAGCTTTGTTTAAGAAACAAGCTAGAGTTGAAAGATACGAGCTTCATTGTGAGATTCTGGATTGTAGAATGGAGAAGGGTACCACAGTTCATGATCATGTTTTCAAAATGATCGGCCTAATTCAAAGTATGGAGAAACTGGGGTACCCATATAGTGATGATTTGGCAACAAACATCATTCTCCACTCACTTCAAGAAAGTTTCAACCAGTTTATCATGAATTTTAACATGACTGCCAATGCAAAGACTATGAATCAATTGCATGCAATGCTGGTTAGTGCTGAGAAACAAATCCCTAAGGAACCTAAGAAGGAAGTTCTTATGATTTAAAAGGGAAAGGGGTTCAAGAAGAAGGGGCAAAATGCTAGTGCCAAGAGCAAGGGCAAGTAAGTTGCCAAGGCTCCTGAAAAGCCTAAGGCGAATCCAAAACCCAAGGCTGCAAGTTAGAGTGAATGCTTTTATTGCAAGAAGAAGGGGCATTGGAAACGCAATTGCCAGAAATACCTTGATTTCCTCAAGAAGAAGAATGGAGCATCAACCTCAGGTATAATGCTATAAACATTTTAACTTTCACTCAGGTATGTGATACCAAGTTGCAGTGCTTAACATTGTGATGTTGCGCAGGAACTGCAAACAAGTGAAGCTAGCATGGAGATAGGGCTTGAAGGTGCACTAGAAGTTTTGAGTGGCAAGAAATAGCTTCATAGCTTTATTTTCTGATTAGTTTATCATGACATCTAGAACAATTTCCAGTTTTTGATGAGACAATATTTCGGTTTTCTTGTTTTGAATACTGATTTGTTTTTACTTGGCTTGGACAAATGTTGATCCATGACCAAGGTAATAAATTGAATTAATTTTGCTAGATATGAGTTAATTTTGGTTTTATGACATTGATATAAGTAGATCACAAAAGTAAATTTAGATGATTCAAAGTAAACTTACTTATAAATAAAGTAAGGTTAGGCCACATAAACCATTTGCACATCCAAAGTTATGGGTGGAATCTTACTCTTATATGATTATGAATCACTTGAGAATTGGAAGTCATGCTTGATAAGGTAAAATGACCAAATTACCTTTTAGTTGAAAGGGTAAAAGAGATAAAATGACCTTTTGGAACACAAACATATGATGTGTGTGTACCACAAGTTCAAGATTTAGCAAAAGGATTTAACTAATTCATTGCTCTTATTAACTATTTAAGTTAATATGTTGATAATTACTTAATGAAGTAAAGGTTGGAATCATTGAAATGTTCAAAATTCCAAAATGAAATGTAAAATCAAGTTTGAGATAAACAATTTAGCACCACAATATGATTGTTGTGATAAATATTTAACTCAAAACAAATGATCATCTAAAGGAATTATTGAATTAGTTCACAATCCAGGAACATTACAATTAAATTGTATGTTTAAAGCAGGAATCAAACTTTTCTTGCCATGATTCGATCCAAGATTTAATGATTTACAAATATCGTTTTTGAGGATATGCATTAGAACAACAACAATTGCGAATATACTAAATAGAAACTTAACCAAAGCAGTAGAAAAGATGTCATAAGAGTTATAGACTGGAAATGTTCCAAAAGTTATCTTTTCTAAAATGGATTGAGGGAATATGAAATCTATGTAAAATGTTTATAAAGATGGCATAATAAACCCTAAATAAGAGGTATTATTCCTACAATCGCGTAGAAACAAAATGTTTGTTGCTGGCGATAGTGTCTTTATAGAAAGAAATGTCTTCCTACAAAGCCAAGTGGGAGTAAAGTTAGATCTTGATGAGATTCGAGACGAGCAACAAATGGATGTGGATAACACTACATTAGAGACGAAGGCGCATGAAATCAGCTAATTTGATAAAACATGTGTCGAAGCAAGCTAATTCAACTAGCGAGACTTCTATCGTCCTACTAGAATGAAAGGCTTCAAACAGTTGAAGAGATAAATTCTATTGTCGCTCATACCTATCGTGGGTTACTTAGGATCAAAACAAACATTTTGTTGAAATTCTGGTAAAATGTGGGTTCTAAAATTTTCCTATTGGAATGGTTGGAATCTATACCTACAAACAAGCTTTGGACAAGTGCCAACTCAGAAAGTGGCTCAAAGCCAAGAAATCCTGAATAGACTCCACGTCTGTAAAGATGTGCTAGTCCATGATAGTCTTACAAATGGGGTCAAACCTATTAGATGTGTAAGCCTATTCGGATTATTCTAGTTATGGAGATCAAAATCACCTTCATGAAATGTTCTTGATGGATGGCATGCATATGATACAACCTAAGAGTTTTGAAATCCATAAATTCCTAGAATGTTTTGCAAACTTTATAAATTCATTTATGGATTGAAGTAAGCATTAGGGAGTTGGAACATTCATTAGGAAATCAAACAGTTTGATTACCTTGGAAGAATGAAAAGGAATCTTGTACAAACAAGAAGTTTAGTGGGAACAATTGGTCTTCTTAGTCTAGTATGTAGTTGACATACATTTCATATGAAATGATAAATCAATGGTTGAATAAGTCAAGCAATGGTTAGAAAGATTGTTTCTATATGAAAGACTTAGGAGATGTTGAGTACATATTGGGAATCAAAATCCACAAAGTGAATCTTGAAGGATGACTGGACCTAATCAAGAGACTAATGTTGATAAGGTTCTTAACAAATTCAAGATGCAAGAATCTAAGAGAGGATCTCTTCCCATGTCTCATGGTTTTACACTTAGTAAAACTCAGTGCCTTAAAAGCTAGTAGGGTTGAGTTGTAAAGGTATTGTACCTTATGCTTCGGCAAAAGGGTCCATTACATATACCATGAAATTTATAAAGCAAGTTGTTACATATGACTTGTGCATGTATAGCAAGTTTCAAGCAAATACAGAATAAGCATACGGAGAGTTACAAAGAACAAATCCTTGAGTATTTGAGAAGCTCTAAAGGAATGTTTCTAGTTTATGGTGTTAAAGGTAAACAAATTGTCAAAAGGTTTTACGGATGCAAGTTCTTCCAAACAGGCAAGATGATTCTAGAAGTTGATCTAGATGCATATTTTTGTTAGTATGGAGAAGTACAGTGAGCTTGAAGAGTTCAAAGCAGAGCACTATTGCATGCTCAATGTTAGAATATGTGTATTAAGCTATAGTCGGATAGTTTTAGAGGAAGTTCGGATTAAAATGTCATATGACTAAAGGATCACCTTTGCCCAAGAACAAAGGAGCCAGGGTCACATCACAAATCTAAACAAATGGATATGAGATATCGCCTCAGTTATGAGATCATTGACCAGCGGGAGGTCATGTTCTGCAAAGTTTTATTATGCGTGAGAAATCACTAAAACCCCTTCCTTAGACTAAGGTATGAAAGTTATATTAAAGTCATGGATTGAAGAAAATTATGTAATTTAAGTTGTGTATGTTTGAGAAAACATATAACATGAGAAATACATCAATTTGCAGGATTATGTTTAAAACAGAAATTATTATTTCTCTTATTTAATTATGGTTTTGGAAATTAAATAAAATGTCCAAAATAATTATGAATTGATGGGCTCACTAGGTTGATGACCTTTTGAATTAAAACCCCACAGGTGAGCAAAATTCATATATTATTTAAGTTCCTAGTTCAAAATCATTAAAGTGGACATAAATGATTTCAACAAATGTACTAGCATGGAAGATTGATTGGATAGCGCAGTTTCATGGGCTATATGGGCATAGTGATGCTCGGTCAATCACTTGGATATGCATGAATGATGTATGATCGAACTATTGACCTACTTTGAAGTTCAAGTATAGAGCTTCCGTATATATTAGTGGATTCCTTTGACATGAGTGGAACATGATTTCATTCAATGGATGTTATGGCTGTGGTACACTCAAACGTCTGCCCGTAACTGGAGATTATAAAGGATGTTTACCGGTCATTTCAGAAGTTGAGTGGGAGGATTTTTGCCACAAGATTGGATAGAGTCTACCTATTAAATTAGGAAATGTGTCATGGCCGCTTGAAGAGGGAAAATTCAGAAAATACGTGGCCGCGTTCAAATGCAGTACTCAGTAGTCATTTGGTTTTGTAATTCTAACTCAGTTTTCAAGTAATAATTTGTAGATTAATATGATCTCGACATGTGATGCAGTCATATTATCAAATCGACACATATTAACTTAAGGAATTTGAATATTGCACCCTTGTCTCAGACAAGTGGGAGATTGAAGGAGTTATGTCTTCGTCGTGTGCAATTACTAGATATATAATTGGATCAAATTATGGAGATAATTAAGTCCGGACATTTGGGTCGTCGTTTTGCTATAGCTAGAGGTACTTACGATCTTTGGACTAGTAAAATGACCAAAGCCCAATTGGACGGATCCTATAAGGTCACACAAAGGGGCTAGATCGAGCATTAGAGGACGAGGCCCATCATGGGCCTCATCACTCTAGGTGGCCGGCCATGTAGGTGAATTAAGAGGCTTTTGGGATTCGTGCCCTAGTCTAATTATAATGAGATTATAAATAGACTAGGTGTCTAGGTTTGCATGTATGCAATTTAGTGATCTTTTGATCAAACCCGAGTTAGCAAACACGAAACCCAACCCCTCTTATATTCCTCTCTCTCACAGCTCTCTCCTCCTCCCCGGCGCACGGTGGTGTCTCGTGGTGGTGGTGGTTCGTGCGGTGGTCGGTTGTCCAAAAAGGTGGTGATCGCGGTTTTCCTCATTTAGCGACAACCGAACCTGCTGTTCAAACATTCCAGTTCAGAACATCTCGTCTTCCAGAACGCAAAAGAATTAGGCTTCAGTGCTACGAGTATCCGATGACGGAGGGATTCAATGACAAATTTTTGTAAGTTTTAATTATTTGGACCGATTAGCTTTCCTTGTCCTTTCAATGTTTATTGTTTTCTAATAAACCTCAAATTTGGTTGATGCAGCAAAGAGAGGGACTGTATTAATATGGATTGTGCTATCATCATGTGTGATATTACTGACGAATCGAGTATGAAGCCTGTTGATGACTGGATTGAATTATTTAAAAGGTGTGTATACTCATATGTTATGAAATCAACAAATTCCCTATTGTTGATTTTTTTTTTCTTCTGGACTTTTAAGTTCTATTATTTTCTATCGTTTTCCTGGTAATTTTAGATTATTTGTGTTAAAATTTGAATGCAGATATGGGAAAGAAATCCCAACTATTGTTTGTGGAAATAAAGCTGATTTGATACCAATCGGGGTAGTAAAGCCAATCGGCTACAATTCTAAGAGTAACAATGTGGTGTGGACTCCTTGTTCAGTTAAGAGCTTGAAAGGTCTTTAGGTGCCTTTCACTTATATTGCCAGGATTCTGACCACTGGGTAATTTATATTTTTGGTGAAAGTTTTTCATAACTATTTCTTTTTTCGTTTTTATACATCTAACTTCTATCCTTTTGTTGTTTTAGACCTCATGACCTTCCTTTCTCTTTCTTCAATGAGATGGCTAGGAGAGGCCTTCCCCTACATAAATGAAACCTTATTGCAGTATATTCAAGAGTAAGCATTCTGATGGACTAGAGATGCCTTTAGATTTTGATCAAAACTACATTGTGCCTCAGGGGCTTGTAAGATACAAGTGTTATAATTACTTGTAGGAGGAACATTGGGTGTTTTTATCTCATTATAAATATGTGATAAATCGTTTGTATAATAAGGGTTTAATTATGGTAATCTAGCCATCTAATGAACTTGGATTTCAAAAATTTATCGGATCATTCTCGAACACTTAGCATTGTAGATGTCAATTGTCACACTTTGTGCCCATATATTGTGTATCTAAATGGCAGCAATCCTACATTATTTCTACTACTACAATGTACCCGTACAAATTGTACGGGATATATATTATAAAGAAAAGTATTAAAGAATATTATAAAAAAAGAATTATATTTCAAATAAAAGTTGATTTTTGATATAGTATATTTATTTTTTTGTTTCGATGATTATTAATTTAATAATAAGTTTAAGGGACATGATCTTCTTAGTGGGTATGAGTAGTGGCGTAATAGATTTGCTGCACAAAGAAGTTTTTCCAAGGTGTTTATTGCTCTATAAATAGTTCATAATTTCTGTTGAAAAAATTCACCCTTGCTCACATAAGTTTTCAAGCTTTTAATCGAGTTAAGAGTCCAATTCCACATAAGTTGAATAGAGTGTTCTTAATGTTCTTGTACTAGAGTTTTTATTTTTTCTTTCGAGTTGTAATTTGGAGAATGGGGAAGTTTGAGTGAACTTCTGTATTGTGAGAAAGAGAAAGAGAAAGAGAAAGAGAAGAGATAAGTTAGAAGAGAGAAAGAGAAGAGAAGGAGTAACAAGTTAGGTTACTTGTTCCTCGAGGCTTCAAGTTCGTTGAGGAAATTGAAGTAAGAGTTTTTTGTTGTAATAGGATTTATTGCCCTATTCTAGTGAAGATTCTTTTCCTAAAATCTCAAGTGGTCGTGGTTTTTCTCCTTGATTAGGGCCAAGGAGTTTTCCACGTAAAAATCTCTCGTGCACTTTAGTTCCTTTTGTTTATCTTTCTGTTCCTTTATCTTACTTAGCTTTAATTTCGCAAAAAGTTTGGCTAAACTCTTATACTACAATTCCACCCCCCTTCTTGTAGTATTCATAGAAACAACACCATGGAATTGAACTAGCTGGCGTGACAGTGGAAGATAAGTGGGAAACCGATCATGGCCGGAGGTGGAACATCTTTGCCTCTTTCTTAGACTCGGATACTTTGAAGCTTATACAAAATCATGAGGTTAGAGCAAACCCGAGTATTAGGGATTTAATCTACTTGAAGGGGGATTCAAAGGGAAAACTTACAATCAAATATGTCCTTAGCATCATGCGCTACGAAACAGATGTTCTTGATGAAGAATGTTGGAATCTTGTGTGGAAGGCACTTGTGCAATAGCGTGTGCATGCTTTTTATGGCTACCTTTCCATGACAGGGTGCTTGGAACCATAACAGGTTCAAAAGGAAACTCACTGACGATCCCCATTGCTTCATTTGTGGTCATATGGAAGAAAGTACCCTACACATATTGCGTGACTGCTCAGCAGCAAAGCAAGTCTAAAAAATGGTACTCACTCCTACTCTCGCTCGTGATTTCTTTCAAGGGTCCTTAAAGGATTGGATTTCTCATAATCTCAAGGAGTTTGGACAAATTGATGACCAAGGATGGCCCAATATCTTTGGTACAATTACTTGGTGGGTGTGGAGGTGGAGAAATTGCTATGTGTTTAACAGGGGGATGAAACTCCTATTGATATGGGAGCCTTTATTCGTATAAGAGTAGATGATGTATTTCGCAACTTAAATAATCATGAAGATGCTCCTTGTTTAAGGCAAGCAAAACAGCAGCAACAAATCTCGTGGTAGGCTTTTAATTGGGGTGGTATGTGCTCAACTGTGATGGTGCTGCTAAAAGGTGTCCAGGCTTGGCAGGGGGTGGAGGGATCATTAGAGATCATGAAGGCAATCTCATATCTGGCTTCTCTGCGAACTTTAGTCAATGCATGTAATACTCGAATATTTTAAGATTCTATCAAATATATTTTATGGTTAAAATATGAAATTATCAATTTTTTTATACTTTATTTTTTTTTGTTATCTTATATAAACTATTTTGAAACCTTAATAATTATCTAAATTACTTATGTAATGTATATATAAACCTTTATTTCTCTGCGCACTTTGTTTGCCGTACGAGAGTCCTCACAAGGTTGGCAGCAAGATGATTTTACATCTGATTCCACTTCTTAGTTTTCTAAAAGCAATTATCAATTACCTAACCTCGTGTTTTCCTTTTTTTTTAATTATTGGGTAACTTTGTTTCCTATTATTCGGATCAAGCATACTCGGTGACTTTTTGTTCCCCATATCCAACAATGTCCCTTGATCGTATGTAATATATTTGATGTTTCCATTTGAAAGGTAATCACACGAAATTTTGGAGATGTTTGTATTATATTTCGTATTATTATGTGTGATATGATTTATTATTTGTACTCTATATTATTATTATGTGTAAATTTTATAATTGTAATTCGTGTGATCAAGTTTGTATATGTACATGATTGATTATTGATATTATATATTTTGATTGGATATGAGTAACGTATTACTTTTATTGTTTATGATTGATAATTTCTAGGGTTTTAATGTTGTTGCTATAGGGAGTATTGTTTTATTGCGGTTTAGGGTGATTAATGCAGAGTATTATTTTGGGTTGAAAAATTAATTAATTTTGGGTACTAGTATTAGCCCTATAAGAGTTGAGATATTTTATGAACCGAATATGTCGTCATATATGAATTGGGAACTTGTGCCAATATTGAGATATTATTTATTATCATGTGAAAGATTATTTGATCAAGTATGAGATCAAAAGGTTGAGAATTATTATATTTTATTCTTGGTTTGAGGCTCGGCGTTATATAACTTAGTCCTTGGCATGTTGGTAAGGAGATAATGATCATGAGTTAAGAATGAGGTACAATCTTTATTATTTATTTTTCTATGGTCCCCTACAGTGGGAATTGACCCGTATGTGGTCTGGTTCAAGGTGTTTTTTTGGTTATTGTAATCCCCCACATTTTTCGATATAATTATAATGTATTAATTTATTATTTATAATTATTTATACAAATATTTCTATTTTTGATTTTCTAAGTATGAATTATTTTGAGGAAAATAATAAGATTTTATTAAACTATTAAGTTTAGTCTAATTACAATTTATTTTCTTGAATATATTTGGCCCAAAGTTGATTTCCTACCCAAACCCAAATTTGCCCAAAGTCAAATCCTAATTCTACTTGGGTTAGGAATTTAGGCCCAACTTTTATAAAAACACAAAAAAAAACCCACCTTAATTCCCTTACTCCTCTCCTCCTCTTTCATGTAAGATCAAAAAAAAAAATATGAAACCTCACTTTCTTCTTCCTCCCTCTTCACGACTCCAGCAGAAGAAAAAAAAAATTCTCGAAGCTGTTGCCACCCAGCCGCCACCTGCACCGCCACCCTCACCGGCTGCCGACCACCGCAGTTCGCCACCTCTCTTTCCCTTTTCCTTTATTTTTTTTATTACTTTATAATATTAATTGGAATGTCTAAAGATTCAAGCTTTAATTAAAAACTTTGTTCTAAATTACATTATTATGGTTTGATTATGTACCTAGTTTATAAAAGATTATAAATTTATGGGTTTTAACAAGTTTAAATTATTTTAATAATTTTTCAGATTTGGGTATGTATGAATTTAGGGTTTAAAGTGTTGATTTTTCATGTTTTAAGGCTTAATAACGTACTAAGCAAGTTACTTAATTATTCTATGTTTAAATTATGTCAAAGTATGATTATTTTGGTTGTATATTAATTTTCAGATTTTATATATTGTAAAATTTGAGTTCTATGTTGTTTATTTGAAGGGTTTTAAGATTTAAGGTGTAATACACTATTCTAATCATTGAATTGTTAATGTAGATCTTTAAAGGTTTGAAATTTATAATTTAAATTAATTTTCAGATTTGATATAATCTGATTTTTATTAGTTTTGAGCCAAAAATAAGGTTTTAGAATACTTCTACATGATTTAAACAAATATTTATGCAATATGCTAAGTATAAATTATTTGAATAACAAAAACTAATGATAAAACGAATTTTCAGCATGTATTATTAAGATAAACTTGCTGTAATTTTGTATTATACACTATATTTTCATAATTTTAACACAAAAACTTGTAATTGGGATGTTGTACAACTAATTTTGACTAATGGTAACAATTTAAAGGCTTTATTTTAATGGTTTGAGAGGTTTTAAAATGCTTTAGTATTGCTGTAAATTTAATGGCTTGAGTATTGATTTATTTCTCATTGTTTGCTTTAGGAGAGGACTTTGTAGAAAGCGACTTCTAGCTAGTTTCTAAAGCGGCCAATCGAATTGTTTACTCAAGGTATGTACAAGTTACAAAACCTTGCTTTTAGGTGCATGTTTAAGAACGGATCGAGAACTTAGTATCATGTATAGGGATGACTGGGTTAAGTTGTTTGGTTATACAGTGTGAATTTCATTTGATGTGCACTATTCCTTATTGCAATTATTGGTTATGCTCTAATTATGCAAGGTGCGCTTAGAGGCAAAGGTATGTGATTGGTGAAATGATTTATTTATTACTCATTCATGATTAATGAAATAGGATGAGTAAAGGAAAGATTCAAGTCTTATAAGACAAGGTTAAGAATTTGGGGTGCCTTTTGCACTCAAGGTGTTTATACACCGAGGTAGTAAAGGAATAATTAATAAATGTAGTTTTGTCACTAA